GATTGTCTGTCTCTGTTTCTCTCTCTAACCTACAGTGAACAAAAACAAAACAGTGAAAAAACAAAACCCACATTAAAGAAAACAGGCTGGAGATTGTCTGTCTCTGTTTCTCTCTCTAACCTACAGTGAACAAAACAAAACAGTGAACAAAACAAAGCAGTGAACAAAACAAAACAGTGAACAAAACAAAAACAGTGAACAAAACAAAAGTGAACAAAACAAAGCTGAACAAAACAAAACAGTGAACAAAACAAAACCTACATTAAAGAAAACAGGCTGGAGATTGTCTGTCTCTGTTTCTCTCTCTAACCTACAGTGAACAAAACAAAACAGTGAACAAAAAAAGCACGTGAACAAAACAAAACCTACATTAAAGAAAACAGGCTGGAGATTGTCTGTCTCTGTTTCTCTCTCTAACCTACAGTGAACAAAACAAAACAGTGAACAAAACAAAACTGAACAAAACAAAACAGTGAACAAAACAAAACTGAACAAAACAAAACAGTGAACAAAACAAAACCTACATTAAAGAAAACAGGCTGGAGATTGTCTGTCTCTGTTTCTCTCTCTAACCTACAGTGAACAAAACAAAACAGTGAACAAAACAAAGCAGTGAACAAAACAAAGCAGTGAACAAAACAAAACAGTGAACAAAACAAAGCAGTGAACAAAACAAAACCTACATTAAAGAAAACAGGCTGGAGATTGTCTGTCTCTTTCTCTCTCTAACCTACAGTGAACAAAAACAAAACAGTGAACAAAACAAAAACCTACATTAAGAAAACAGGCTGGAGATTGTCTGTCTCTGTTTCTCTCTCTAACCTACAGTGAACAAAACAAAACAGTGAACAAAACAAAACTGAACAAAACAAAACAGTGAACAAAACAAAACTGAACAAAACAAAACAGTGAACAAAACAAAACAGTGAACAAAACAAAACAGTGAAACAAAACAAAACTACATTAAAGAAACAGGCTGGAGATTGTCTGTCTCTGTCTCTCTCTAAACCTACAGTGAACAAAACAAAAGTGAACAAAACAAAACAGTGAACAAAACAAAAACCTACATTAAAGAAAAACAGGCTGGAGATTGTCTGTCTCTGTTTCTCTCTCTAACCTACAGTGAACAAAACAAAACAGTGAACAAAACAAAACAGTGAACAAAAACTAAAACCCTACATTAAAGAAAACAGGCTGGAGATTGTCTGTCTCTGTTTCTCTCTCTAACCTACAGTGAACAAAACAAAAACAGTGAACAAAACTAAACCCTACATTAAAGAAAACAGGCTGGAGATCTGTCTCTGTTTCTCTCTCTAACCTACAGTGAAACAAAACAAAAGTGAACAAAACAAAAACAGTGAACAAAACAAAACCTACATTAAAGAAAAAAACAGCTGGAGATTGTCTGTCTCTGTTTCTCTCTCTAACCTACAGTGAACAAAACAAAAGTGAACAAAACAAAACAGTGAACAAAACAAAACCTACATTAAAGAAAACAGGCTGGAGATTGTCTGTCTCTGTCTCTCTCTAACCTACAGTTGAACAAAACAAAACAGTGAACAAAACAAAACCTACATTAAAGAAACAGGCTGGAAGATTTGTCTTCTCTGTTTTCTCTCTCTAACCTACAGTGAACAAAACAAAAGTGAACAAAACAAAACAGTGAACAAAACAAAACCTACATTAAAGAAAACAGGCTGGAGATTGTCTGTCTCTGTTTTCTCTCTCTAACCTACAGTGAACAAAACAAAAACAGTGAACAAAACAAAACCCACATTAAAGAAAACAGGCTGGAGATTGTCTGTCTCTGTTTCTCTCTCTAACCTACAGTGAACAAAACAAAACAGTGAACAAAACAAAACTGAACAAACAAAAACAGTGAACAAAAACAAAACCTACATTAAAGAAAACGGCTGGAGATTGTCTGTCTCTGTTTCTCTCTCTAACCTACAGTGAACAAAACAAAACAGTGAACAAAACAAAACAGTGAACAAAACAAAACCTACATTAAAGAAAACAGCTGGAGATTGTCTGTCTCTGTTTCTCTCTCTAACCTACAGTGAACAAAACAAAACACAGTTGAACAAAACAAAACAGTGAACCAAAACAAAAACCCACATTAAAGAAAAACAGGGGAGATTGTCTGTCTCTCTTTCTCTCTCTAAACCTACAGTGAACAAAACAAAACAGTGAACAAAACAAACAGTGAACAAAACAAAAACCCACATTAAAGAAAACAGGCTGGAGATTGTCTGTCTCTCTTCTCTCTCTAACCTTACAGTGAACAAAACAAAACAGTGAACAAAACAAAACCTACATTAAAGAAAACAGGCTGGAGATTGTCTGTCTCTGTTTCTCTCTCTAAACCTACAGTGAACAAAACAAAAAGTGAACAAAACCAAAAACAGTGAACAAAACAAAACCTACATTAAAGAAAACAGGCTGAGATTGTCTGTCTCTGTTTCTCTCTCTAACCTACAGTGAACAAAACAAAACAGTGGAACAAAACAAAACCCACATTAAAGAAAACAGGCTGGAGATTGTCTGTCTCTGTTTCTCTTCTAACCTACAGTGAACAAAACAAAACAGTGAACAAAACAAAACTGAAAAAACAAAAACAGTGAACAAAACAAAAACCTACATTAAAGAAAACAGGCTGGAAGATTGTCTGTCTCTGTTTCTCTCTCTAACCTACAGTGAACAAAACAAAACAGTGAACAAAACAAACAGTGAACAAAACAAAACCTACATTAAAGAAAACAGGCTGGAGATTGTCTGTCTCTGTTTCTCTCTCAACCTACAGTGAACAAAACAAAACAGTGAACAAAACTAAACCTACATTAAAGAAAACAGGCTAGAGATTGTCTGTCTCTGTTTCTCTCTCTAACCTACAGTGAACAAAACAAAACAGTGAACAAAAACAAAACCTACATTAAAGAAAAAACAGGCTGGAGATTGTCTGTCTCTGTTTCTCTCTCTAACCTACAGTGAACAAAACAAAACAGTGAACAAAACAAAAACCTACATTAAAAGAAAAACAGGCTGGAGATTGTCTGTCTCTGTTTCTCTCTCTAACCTACAGTGAACAAAACAAAACAGTGGAACAAAACAAACCCACATTAAAGAAAACAGGCTGGAGATTGTCTGTCTCTGTTTCTCTCTCTAACCTACAGTGAACAAAACAAAACAGTGAACAAAACAAAACCTACATTAAAGAAAACAGGCTGGAGATTGTCTGTCTCTGTTTCTCTCTCTAACCTACAGTGAACAAAACAAAACAGTGAACAAAACAAAACCTACATTAAAGAAAACAGGCTGGAGATTGTCTGTCTCTGTTTCTCTCTCTAACCTACAGTGAACAAAACAAACAGTGAACAAAACAAAACCTACATTAAAGAAAACAGGCTGGAGATTGTCTGTCTCTGTTTCTCTCTCTAACCTACAGTGAACAAAACAAAACAGTGAACAAAACAAAACCTACATTAAAGAAAAACAGGCTGGAGATTGTCTGTCTCTGTTTCTCTCTCTAACCTACAGTGAACAAACAAAACAGTGAACAAAACAAAACCCACATTAAAGAAAACAGGCTGGAGATTGTCTGTCTCTGTTTCTCTCTCTAACCTACAGTGAACAAAACAAAAACAGTGAACAAAACAAAACAGTGAACAAAACAAAACCTACATTAAAGAAAACAGGCTGGAGATTGTTCTGTCTCTGTTTCTCTCTCTAACCTACAGTGAACAAAACAAAACAGTGAACAAAACAAAACAGTGAACAAAACAAAACCCAATTAAAGAAAACAGGCTGGAGATTGTCTGTCTCTGTTTCTCTCTCTAACCTACAGTGAACAAAACAAAACAGTGAACAAAAACAAACTGAACAAACAAAACAGTGAACAAAACAAAAACCTACATTAAAGAAAACAGGCTGGAGATTGTCTGTCTCTGTTTCTCTCTCTAACCTACAGTGAACAAAACAAAACAGTGAACAAAACAAAACAGTGAAACAAAACAAAACCTACATTAAAGAAAACAGGCTGGAGATTGTCTGTCTCTGTTTTCTCTCTCTAACCTACAGTGAACAAAACAAAACAGTGAACAAAACAAAACAGTGAACAAAACAAAACCTACATTAAAGAAAACAGGCTGGAGATTGTCTGTCTCTCTTTCTCTCTCTAACCTACAGTGAACAAAACCAAAACAGTGAACAAAACAAAACAGTGAAAACAAAACAAAAACCTACATTAAAGAAAACAGGCTGGAGATTGTCTGTCTCTGTTTCTCTCTCTAACCTACAGTGAACAAAACAAAACAGTGAACAAAACAAAACAGTGAACAAAACAAAACCTACATTAAAGAAAACAGGCTGGAGATTGTCTGTCTCTCTTTCTCTCTCTAACCTAACAGTGAACAAAACAAACAGTGAACAAAACAAAACCTACATTAAAGAAAAACAGGCTGGAGATTGTCTGTCTCTGTTTCTCTCTCTAACCTACAGTGAAACAAAAACAAAACAGTGAACAAAACAAAACCTACATTAAAGAAAACAGGCTGGAGATTGTCTGTCTCTGTTTCTCTCTCTAACTTACAGTGAACAAAACAAAACAGTGAACAAAACAAAACTGAACAAAACTAAACCTACATTAAAGAAAACAGGCTGGAGATTGTCTGTCTCTGTTTCTCTCTCTAACCTACAGTGAACAAAACAAAACAGTGAACAAAACAAAACAGTGAACAAAGCAAAACAGGCTGGAGATTTTCTGTCTCTTTTTCTCTCTCTAACCTACAGGCAAACAAAACAAAACAGTGAACAAAACAAAACCTACATTAAGAAATCAAAACTACAGTGATCATAACAAAACCTACACTATAGAAACCTACATTACAGAAAACAAAACTTGCAGTGGACTAAACAAACCGGTTATTTTACCGTTTATGACTATCGAGAAAATATTTATATCATAAGATTTATTCTCGTGTGGCGGGAATGAAAATGAAGATCATTTCTCGATAGCAGGGGAGGGCGTGAAGTATATCAGGAAAATTATGGGGTAAAACAGACTGAATTAAGAATAGAGAACAAACATGCGTAAAACCAGCACAAAAAGTTTAAAATTGGCCAATGAAACTTTATAGACCGCCTCCTTGGAAAGTCTACGGACCGACGCGCCAGCTTAAAAAAACAAAACAAAAACATTGGAAGATATACTCATGTTATATCCTAAATTTTACGATGTAAAACTATCATAATCATAGAACACGCCACAGAACACTGCTATGTAAACACAAAGGCAAAGGTAGATCAACTTAGGTAATATACGTTTGTATGACATATTCCCATTTTACCAAGTACAGTTAGATCATATAATCACAGAATACTGTTCTCTGTCTATGTGAATATATCTAACACTCTGTACTCACGACTGCCCACGCCTGAGCAGTTAGCCAGGGTGGTAAATAAACTTACTTAACTTTTAACTACAGAAACCCAAGCCACCACAAAAGTCACACCACAAAACACATCCTGACCACGAAAGCAACGTAATTTCAGGTCACGAACTTTATTCAA